AAAAAAAAAAAAAATTATATCCAACAAGAGTGACTTAAACACATTTTCAGATTTCCATGAGGCACTAGGCATGGTGGTGTGCACCTGTAGCCCCAGCTATTCGGGAGGCTGAGGCAGGAAGATTTCGAGCTCAAGAGGTCCAGGCCAGCCTCAGCAACATAGTGAGAGCCTATCTCTTAAAAAGAAAAAAAATTTCATAAGGCCTGAAAAATTATTCAGAATTGAAACCTAGTAGAATTTAAGATGAGAGGAACTAACTGTTGGAAAGCTTTGTGGAGTAGATCTCCCCCTGCCACCCCCTGCTGTACATCATCAGTTGCCATGCCCACTTACTGGTTGTAGTTTTCATAAGGTATCCCAGAGTAATGTTCTTTCTCTTTTATATGTAAAGAATTTTTAAATTTAAGTTTTTCCCACAAGCCATAGAGTATTTTAAAATAATAATAAATAATGTCCCAGTCCATAGGAAGGTACAGCTAGGATGAGTACTATATCACACATTAAATAGGCTTCCACTCGGAAATCCAACATATCATTTGCTGTGGTGTTTCCCCCCAGTTCACTTGTTAGCATCCTATACATATACTTGTATACCAGAATAAATTAATATTATATTTATTGGGAAAAGCATCTAAGTTCCATTAGCTATTTATATCCTGTCTGGTTGTCTTAATTGACCTGGTCAAACTCTTCCACTAACGTCTCAATGTGAAAACTGCCAAGACCAGTAAATCTTTAGTCTTTTATTTCTTTATATGTATTGCAATAAGGATCATTCCTAGTTACAGTGAGGCTCACATGAGAACTGACATAAGAGCTTTTAGTCAAGCAGTAAAGTGTCACAATAGACAAATGTTGCCAAACTGGGTCTAAAAGTGCCATCATACTCCCAAGTGCAGCATACTTCTTTGTGATGTTAAAACAGGATACTCTAAGATTTTTAGGGAGATAAACCTACAGTGCCATTCGTTCATTCAGACAGGGTCTCGCTCTGTCACCAAGGCTGGAGTGCAATAGTGTAATAATAGCTCACAGCCGCAATCTCCTGGACTCAAGTGATCCTCCTGCCTCAGCCTCTGAGAAACGGAGACTAGAGACATATGCCACCACAACCCGGTTAAGGCCATTTTGAAATATGTTTAAAGATGGCAAAGGTTCTGGACTTTAAGGTTACAGCTTTCATGCTGGAATCCAGCCCTACTGCTTTTTCAGCATAATCTCCAACTGCAAAAGTAGATTATAGTTTTGTAAACATCAAACTTAAATTGCTATTGTGCTTATTTTCTGGCAGAGAAAGACTCCTTATGTATTGCCTCAGAAGTGGTGGACCGCCCCACTACACCCCAAAATAACACTGGGTCCAGTGCAGGGTCTAAATTGGTAAATTTTAAATGTCATTTGATATGTGAAGTCTAGTATATACCATTTTAAGCAGTAATAAAGAAGATCTCTATTGTGTATTACCTAAAAATGCTTCCTTATACCTGAGTTGGTAGAGAAGATGGTAGAGGAAGAAAGAAAATGTCTATACCCACTTCTCACTAAAAGAAATTAAGTAAGCATTGGGACTCTCCATATTCATAAATATCCAGTGAAGATCACCTATGATGAAAAGCAGCTAAATTATTCTCACTAATAATGGAGAACAGTCTATCTTATAATTTTTAGAATATACTGTTTGAATATGTACACAAAATTTCTTTTGACTCATATTGAAGTTATTATTGTTTCCTTATGTTATTCTTTGTTCTTTATACCATTTCAGTTGCTTTAAATGAATGATATTCAAATCCAAGATTTATCTATGTTTGAATAATTATAGATCATGTTGATTTGTAGGTAATTCTTTAGAAGATGCTAAGTCATTTACAGATTATAACAGTGAGTGACACAGAGGCTGGAAAATACTGGTGTGACGATGAGGTCAGAGCATTGATACAAATATGGTCTGATGAAAAAATCAAGCAAATGCTTGAAGGGGCCACAAGAAACAAGAAAATTTTTGAGGAAATTGCCAGAAGATGAATGCGGTTTGGGATAGACAGAGACCGGAAACAATGTCATACCAAACATAAAAATTTAAAATATGAATATAGCATTTTACAAAGAAAAAATGGCAACCCTCAAAGAAAAATGAGATTTTATGAAGAAGTTGAATGCATCCTAAGAAAACCAACTCTCAGAACTGCCAAATTGAAACATGGTAACCTTGGAATTGACATTAACAAAGAAAAAAATCCAGATATTCCTCTTTGTATTTTCATTTAGCAAGAGAAAAACTCTTTCAAAATAAAATCCTACCACTATTGTATGCTCAAATGACCCTTTAAAAATCAATAGAAATAGGTATCTAATTTAAGCCAAGTTTCAACTTTTTTCTAAACCTTGTACCAAAATATTCCTAATTCTTAACTCATTATCTGTCCAACTGCTTCAGTGTTCTTATTTTAGCAGACTTGAATGCTTGAAAACTAATGTATTTTAGATGATGTCATATAATGATTCTTTTCCTGTGTTTTTATTTAAGAATTATTTGAAGGTCATAACAAAAGCCAAGGAACTTTGAGCTTCAAGAGAAAAGCGCATGAAGATGGTAAGAGCCTGAGAAATGCCCAGTTCTTCCACACAGTGAAAAACTTGTTGCTTTTTCCTGATAACATAGATATTTATTCCTGTCCTTGATAAGTTAGACTAAATATATTGTTTATGAACTGTATTAGAGCAGAGAATGCTGAGAAATAATTTCTTTCATAGCTCGAGTGAAAGTTCCTGCAGGAGCTAGATTTTATATTTTAAAAGAAGAAAGAAGAAAAAGAGTGAGAGTAACACTGAAAGCAAATGAAAACTTGCCCAGAGTTAGATAACTATTCATTTACCGTGGTCCTTTAAATTGTACTTTGCAGCGATTGTTACAATCATTGTTAACAGATCTAAAAAGAAAAAAATCCACAGTTCCTCAAAGGTAGTCAATAATGAATATAACATTTTAATAAGTCTGAAAGTAAGTCAAACTCAGAAGCCAACCTAATAATGGGAGCTGTAATTCCAAACGGACCCATCACGGACATCAGAAAAGATAATATAATGCAATATACCATGTAGAAGAAAGAAAATGCTCACAATACTGATAACAGGAAAACCTGAGTTCCAGTCTCTCTTTGACCCTAATTCCTCAACACAGAGCTAATCACTGCATTTCTCTGGATCTCTAAAATAATCCAGCTTTAGTGTTTTATAGATTTATAATTTATGAAATTGTTTTTTAGTAAACACAAAAAAATTGAAGAGTTAAACAAAATTTTACAAAGTAAACACCCCAAACCCACCACTCAGGACATAAAACTTACAAGCACCCTAAAAGCCTCCCAGACATTAATCATCTTCCAGCCCCAGTAAACATTATTCTCACTTCTTTCACCATAGATTAGTTTAGGATTCATACAGTAGGTACTTTTCTTTCATTCAGCATTGTTTATGAGATTTACCCACAATTTTACTCAGTAGTCTGTTATTTTTTACTGCTGTAGAATAATCCATTGTAAAAATATAAATCCCAGCCAGGTGCAGTCAATGGCTCAGGTCTATAATCCCAGCACTTTGGGAGGCTGAGGAAGGAGGATCACTTGAACCCAGGAATTCAAGAACAGTCTGGGCAACACAGTGAGACCCCCATCTCAATATTTAATTAATAAATAAATAAACTTACATCCCATAACTTTTTCAAATCTATTTCACTGTTGGACATTCCAGTTGTTTCCAGATTGGAGTTTTTATGAATAATTGCATGCCTCTCAATGGACATATGTATGCATTTCTGTTGAGTATAATACCCAGAAGTGGAAGGCAGGGTCATAGGACATGCATATATCAAGGCACTGTTCTAAGCACTTTACATATTTTAACATATTTAGTCCCAACCACAACGCTATAACATAGATGCTATCATTATACTCAATTTACAGATGAGGAAACTGAGGCATAGAGAAGTCTGTGCTCTTGAACCAATGAGGCCTCTCTGCGAGGGCAGGAACCACATCTGCCCTGTATGGTACAGTATTTCCAGTGTCTACCACAGTGCCTTAGATGTACATTATAGGAGTTCAACAAATTCGTCTTCCCCTTATAACCTGTAATCTCAAGTGAACTGAAAAGTGTATTTTTCCATTCCTGGATATAAATGCAAGTCAGATAAAACTCTTGTGCGATTAACACTTAGCAGTTTTCCTGAAAGGAGAAGTGGTTAAGGGTTAACCGCACAAGAGTATCATTCTGAGCCCACTGAATTTGAGCATTAGCCCTTACAATACACAAGACTAGGCCAAAAAATGAGGAAACAGACTCAGAAGTTAGGAGACCTGCCCAAGATTACATTGGTGTTACTGGAAAACCTGGGGCTAGATTTCAGGTTGTATGTTAAGGAGCTCTTCCCAATATTGACCAGAATGACCAAGCAGTGGTACTTGGAGGCTTTTGGGGACAGGTAAATTCTGCTTCAGACTAATGCAAAAAGCAAAGTTCTAAACAAAATAGTTATAAATGGAAGAATCAAAAATACTTATTTTGAATAAAGAATCACTGAATTATAAAATAATTAGAAGTCTCTCAAAATCAAAGACTGGAACAATTTGAAAAAACACTTTTAAAATAAGTCACTTCCTCAAACCAAAAATTACTTTACTTGACTTAGATACACGTTATAGATTAAGGGAGTGTAAAAGTAAAACACTACAGCAATGTTACATATTTGGCCATTTTCAATCAAACATGAAAATCAAAATTAAGTTAAGATATCCCCTGCCTTAATTTGGTAGCCCTAAATAAGTTCTCTGGCAATCAAAACCTGTGTTCTCCACAAAACTAAATGAAGATTAACTGGGAACTAGGTCCGACTGAATGCATCTCTCATTCTCACAAGTGCCTTTCTAGTGGTAATGTTCTGTATTCTGTTTGCAGAAACAGTGTCTCTATCTCTTAAGAAAAGTACTCCTGAGATCATTACAAATCAGTTTCCTCAAAGCATAATAACAGAACCAAAAGATTCTACAGAACGTTTCTGCAGACAGGAAACCCAACTTCATCAGGTAAATCTTATAAATTTTTAGAAGTAGTATGAAAATGTTTGTCATTGTAAGGTTCAAATCCTAACCCAGAGAAGTGATAATTCACTGAAGGGAAGGGTATGCTTATCACAAAATGAATTAAGGAGAAAGGCTAACTAGGTGATTCATGGGATAAATCTAAGGAATCTTCAAATATGTCCAGGCCATTCTAGTCTCCATAAAATGTGACTGTGTTTTAAAAATGAATATGTTTACTCTAAGAAGGGATGTCTGGTTTGTTCAGAACTCTGCAAACTACTGAGATGATGTTTTCAGGACCAAAACAGCATGTGATTATGTGAATCTGGCATGAACATACCCACAACACATGCATGTATAGTTTACAGCTAAAAGGACATTTGAAAATTCCCCTTCAGAAAGCAAAGCTACAGAATAACTCTGAAGATAGCCAGAATTACTAAAAAGGGGTAGTACATCTGGATGAATCCATCTCGGTTAAATATCCAGTGCATGGCTGTTTACTAATTGATACTCTATTTTTATATGAAATAGGTAATATACCTTCCAGTTATTCTGTTAACTCCAGGACTAAATATTTTAGATTAGATTATGCCCAAGACAAAAAACTGAACCAAAAACAAAGCAAAAGTAGTAGAAATCTCACCTTCTAGATTCCATCTTCTTAAAGATAAAGTTGCCCAGGCATGGTGGCTCACGCCTGTAATCCTAGCACTTTAGGAGGCTGAGGTGGGTGGATCACTTAGGCCAGGAGTTCAAGACCAGACTACTAAAAATACAAAACTTAGCCAAGTGTGGCAGTAGGTGCTTGTAATCCCAGCTACTTGAAAGGCTGAGGCACGAGAATCGCTTAAACCTGGGAAGTGGAGGTTGCAGTGAGCTGAGATCATGCCACTGCACTCCAGCCTAGGTGACAAAGTGAGACGCTGTCTCAAAAAAAAGAAGATAATGTATAAGAAATAAATTCCTTCATCAAAAAGGAAAAAAACCCAATTAAACCTTTTTGCAGCTGTTTTAAAACTAACCAGTAAGTGAATGAGGGTGAGAAAGTGGAAACAGCTTTCTGCAACAGACCACCACTTCTCAGAGTACACCATACACACACACACACACACACACACACACACACACACACACACACTTATACATATATATGCAACTAAACTACTATTAAGCTATGACAACCTAACTAGGCTCTAGTTTTGACGTTCCTAGATTCAACGCCATACAAAAATGTTAGTTCTGGCGGGGTGCCATGGCTCACGCCTGTAATCCCAGCACTTTGGGAGGCCTAGGTGGGAGGATCAATTGAGGCCAGCAGTTAAGAGACCAGCCTGGCCAACAAGGCGAAATCCACCCTGACATGATGAAACTCTGTCTCTACTGAAAATACAAAAATTAGCCAAGCGTGGTGGTGCATGCTTGTAATCCCAGCTAGTGAGGTGGCTGAGGCAGGACACTTGAACCCAGGAGGCAGAGGTTGTAGTGAGCCAAGATTGCCACCACTGCACTCCAGCCTGGGCAACAGAGAGAGACTTGGTCTCAAAAACAAAAAAAAAGCCTCTTTTTCTTCAGGCACACATTTAAAGGAGAGAAGAGAGGGGGATGAAAACTTCCTGAATAACTTTGGCAAAAAAGTAAATACAGTGAAGAACAGTTCATATATGTTTTCTATAGACCACCAGGCAACCCTAAAGACCACTAGATTCTCCCCCACTTCCATGACAGAATATCCAAAAACACTACCAGCTAATTTTCGTATTTTTAGTAGAGACGGGGGTTTCACCATGCTGGTGATGGTCTTGATCTTGACCTCATGATCCGCCCGCCTCGGCCTCCCAAAGTGCTGGGATTACAGGCTGAGCCACCACCACAGGCGATAACTTCTAAGAATGTTATAAACTAATGTTGCTCAGAACTACCACATAATCAAGAGTTTACTTTCTCCTTGGATTATGTAACTAATCGTTTCAATGTATGTGTTGGTTTTTTTTAGAGAAATCTATTATGGTGAACCCATAATTATCCAAGATTGGAGTTACGCAAGTTAAAAATATTCTTTTTGATGCATCCCACATTCTCAGTTCTATAGTAAACATAAAATGTGAAACTGAAATTCAAGTATTTGGGACAAGGAAAACAGCAAAAAGTACTTCTAATTTAAGTTTGGTTGAGGGAAAGCTAATCATTTGGAATGCGTTTATACACATTGCACCCATTTTGCTGTTAAGTGTTATTGCCAAGTTCCTGAACTGTACTAGATATTGTTATTACTGTATTACCTTACGGAAACTTTGTAATACTTTCAGTGAAGAGTATCAAACCCAGGTTTGTGTCTCTTACCCTAGAGTAATAATTTATATCAACTTCCAGTTAAGTCAGGTAGTAAGAAAAGGAAAGATCCCTGAGCGAACTCTTTTTTTTTTAAACTCAAAGGGATCTCCCAATTTTTCAAAATCAAGTGTATGGATCTTGTCAGAGACACTACTCCCCTTTTGAAGAGGGGAGTTACTTTTTGTCATCTTATTACCAACGTTTTCATTCATTAGGTAAGACATTTACCAATGAATCTTTTCCAGATGCACTATTCCCTATGGTTGGTTTATTTTCACTTAATTTATTTGACATCTACTACCGGTAGTCCTTCTAAACATCAACTAGTCATCTTTCCGTGGGTCTTAAGCCTAGGATCCTCAAGTTCCCATAGCGATATCTACTTTCAAACCCATCATCTGCTCAATAGCTCTGCCACTGCAAACAAAAGCTTGTGGTGGTTGGAGGCCCCGCGCGAAAACCTTTAGGTGTTGTAGGACCTGGACCGGCCGCCACGCCACACTAACCTATTACAGGAGCAGCCACAGGCTCGGGGAGATTAGAACCCGCAAGCAGGAGGAAAGGAGCCCTGATCCAGCTAGACGAAGCAAACCAGAGCCTTACAAGCTGGCCAGCCTCTGTAGGGATGCACAGACCGGGGGGCGGGGAAGGAGAGAGCCCCTAAAAGGCATGAGAGGCTGGAAAGGTGGGCAGGACAGGCTAAAGTTCCTGAAAGCGAGGCGCCCCACGTGCCCAACGAGGCAACCAGGTCGATGCCACAGCCAACTACCAGTTCAGGGAGGAGAGGTAGGTCCTCCCAGCCCTCGACGCTCACGAGAACGCCGACTGCGGGAAGCGGTTCCAAAAGATGAAGACGCACGACCCCACCACCCCTACCCTGTTGCTCACCGGTGCTGCAGCCCCACGAGTCCCAGAGTGATCACATGCGGTACATCCAGCTGCGTGGGCCACTCTCCTGAGGCGATGCACCCAAACACGCCACATTCCTCTCGGATCCCCAACTCTTCCAGCTCCATGTCGCCGCCGAAAGCACGTGGAGGGATCCGCCGCTGCGGCCAAGGTTAAAGGACCAACCAGCTGCCAGCTCCGTCCGTCCAGCTCAGGAGCTCGCGCTCACGACGGGCGCTTCCTTCCCCGAGGCTGGCCCCAGCTACTGCGGCGGCGCGCGCTATCCCTAGGTGGGTGTGGCCAGCTCGGCCCTGCCACGCCCCCTCTGAGCCCACCAACAGCCGAGGGCGGAGGGGCGGGGCCACGGATACTGTGGGGTGGAGCTAGCCGTCCCCTAAGAGCTGTCTAGAAATCCGTATTAGCTGCACGTGGAAATCTCCGTTATTTTCCAGCACCGAAGACTAGCGTAATGGGAATAACGGATTTAACGCCATTTCTCTTTCAGAGCATTTAGCTTTCATACGCCCTTCCCCACATGCCTACCCCAGGCAATCACGACTTGGTACGCCCCAACCTCTGAGGCGCTCCCGCGGCAGAGAAAGGGCCGGGGTATGCGAGCTTCCGCCGAGTGGGGAGGGGCCGCCAGTGCGCGCCACTTTTCGCCTGTCGGGGCACTGCGCCAGCGCAGGGCGGCCCAGAGGCGGGGTTGCGTCGCTGCGCCTGCGCGGCGGGAAGCCTGCGGGGAGTTCTTTCTTCAGAGGTCCACGCTCCAGTCTCCGCCTAGACCCTTCTGGGTTCGGCAGTTGTCGCGGTGTTGGAGGAGAGTGGCGCAGGGTCGCGCGTCCCCGCCAGGGGGCGTGTCTGTGGGCCGCGCCTCCTTCTCCGCCCCGCGAGCCTCTCTGACCACCCCTCTTTTCTAGAGTTCTGCCTCGCTTCCTGGCGCAGTCGCAGCTCTCAGCCCACTCAGGATAATGGCGACAGCTGAGGGTGAGTAACAGGCGTCCCGGCCCTCCTTGGTCTTCCTGACCCCCCGGCTGTGAGCTGGCCGTGAGCTCGCGGCCACTTGCGAGTCCCGGAGCTCTGTCCGGACTCCCTGCGGCCGCGCCTCCAGGCCTCCGTGCGGGCGCACACGTGGCCCAGGCGGTCCTGGGCCTCCCTGAACTTACTCTGCTGCCTCCGGGAGAAGGAGCAAAGCAGAGGAGAACGAGAAATAGAGGGGTTGGAAAACTGCCTGGAAGTATCATTAATAATCAATAGCTATTGCAACATAGAAGCAAATCTGGTGTTGATTCGTCAAACCTGAGTCTTGCTTTGCCCGTTAGCTTAATGGCATTTCTAAGAAGGTTAATAATTGAAACTTGAAAAACCTATCTAGGAGCCAGGAGCGGTGACTAACGCCTGTAATCCCAGCACTTTGGGAGGCCGAGGCGGGCAGATCACCTGAGGTCAAGGAGTTCGAGATCAGCGTGGCCAACATGGCAAAACCCCGTCTCTATTAAAAATACAAAAAAATTAGCCGGGCATGGTAGCGGGTGCCTGTAATCCCAGCTACTTGGGAGGCTGAGGCAGGAGAATCGCTTGAACCCGGAGCCAGAGGTTGCAGTGAACCGAGATCGCACCACTGCACTCCAGCCTGGGCAACAAAGCGAGACTCCGCCTCAAAAAAAGAAAAAAAAAAAGAAAACGAGAGAGTGAGTGTATGCGTGTGCGCGTGTGTGTAAGTAGTCTGATGCCATGGAGGTGTGTGTGTGTTCGCGCCTACGCGTGCGCTGAAGTCTGATGCCACGAGAGCTTGGGGGTTGTGTGTGTGAGTAGTCTTTGTGACTGTGTGTGTATGTGTGCGCGCTTACGTAGTCTTTGATGCCAGGGATGTGTGTGCGCACGTGTGCGTGCGCTTTGAAGTAGCCTTTGATGCCGTGATGGCTTTGGAGAACCTCAAAACCCGCAGGCAAAAGAAGTTTTCTTGCTTCGACTTTGGATTGATCAAATTTACAAAGTTACGCTATCAGTTTGTCCCGGGGTGGTCAGATCCTCAGGAAAGATTGTTCTTGCTATTAATGCTGGAAAAACAAAACCAACAAAAAACGTTGGTTTGTTCCACACACCCAATTGCCATAAATGTAGTGAACGAAATTGCTTGTATTGGCTGGTGGGTACATTCTTTTCCACATAGAAAGTAACTGAATTTAGACTTTCAAAAGTTGTAGACTCAGCAAAAAAGATTCAGATGATATTAACTCCCTAAAATCAAGGCATTGGACCAGAGTGTTCCTGCAATCATGGTCCTGTACCTCTAAACTGGCAAATCTCTAAAATCTTTGCTCTTCTACTTCTTTCCATTTTGCATTACCATTGGCAGGTTGATTTTTCTAAAATGTCACTTTTATGGTCTGTAAAAGGTAAAAGTGTTTCATGCCGTCTCTAGAGAAATGCCTTTTCTTTCAAATCCTGAATATTGCTATCCTTTCTACCTCTTCATCCCTAACTTTCATTTTTCTCTAACTTGAATCCTTAGCTTATGTTCCAGTCAGGT